AACTGTGGGCTGAAGCGTCAAACAAGAACTGAAACCAGGTTAGAATCCAATTCCAGTTGAGTCTGCTAAAACAACTTGGCTGGTCTTGGGCTGCTTTTCTGGAACAACTCAAGCTTATTAAACCCCCTATCTTAGGAAAAGGGATAGTGTAGTCATTGAGTAATCAAGTATCTGTGGCTTGGCTGACAAATAGGTTTTTTGGTTTTGTTTTTTCCAGGTGAAACCAAAGATCAGGTAGCAAACTCTGCTTTTGTGGAACGTCTTCGCAAACATGGTTTGGAGGTGATTTACATGATTGAGCCTATTGATGAATATTGTGTGCAGCAGTTAAAGGAATTTGAAGGGAAGACCTTAGTTTCTGTAACAAAGGAGGGTTTGGAGCTTCCAGAGGATGAAGAGGAGAAGAAGAAACAGGAGGAAAAGAAAGCAAAGTTTGAGAACCTCTGCAAGATCATGAAAGATATTCTTGAAAAGAAAGTAGAAAAGGTATGATTAGACTGCCTACAGAACAGTAAAAACTGTTGATGGTCAATCAATGCTAATTCTGTATAGGCTTTTTAAATCTCTTCATATACAGAAGGGGGAGCAAACAAGATTAAGCCATGATTCTAGAACATAGAAAAATTGGACTTCTCTACAAACAGTAGTGACTAGATGCTTCGGGGGTGGCTGAGTTAGTCTTTAAAGCGCTTGCAAACAAAGTGTTAAGTTTATCCTGTACAGGCTAACAAAACATGAAGATAGAGCTTTTGTGAGCATAGCTGGTCATCTGAAGTGGGCTGTACCCATGAAAGCTCATACCAGTAGTGACTAGTCTGTCCCTACAGTACCTCTTTTCACTTGTCAGAAGTAGGGTTCCCAAAGTGAAGTGAAACAATTATTCAGTCACTAGAATGTTGGATTTCGATGAACACTATCCTCAAATTCCACTTCATGTGGCTATACAGTTGACTACACCGATTCCTGTTGTATTATCACTGCAAATGCAGGTCCTCCTAGAATAATTGCCGCAGTCCTGCACTCTTGTAGTAGTATCCAAGCCTACCAACTCTCTGGTAATAACTAATGCTTACATTCAACAGGTTGTGGTCTCCAACCGTTTAGTGACTTCCCCGTGCTGCATTGTAACAAGTACATACGGTTGGACTGCCAATATGGAGAGGATAATGAAGGCACAAGCACTTAGGGACAACTCCACAATGGGCTACATGGCAGCAAAGAAACATCTTGAGATAAATCCTGACCATTCCATCATTGAAACACTAAGGCAAAAAGCAGAGGCTGACAAGAATGACAAGTCAGTGAAGGATCTGGTTATCTTGTTGTATGAAACCGCACTCCTGTCCTCTGGTTTCAGTTTGGAGGATCCCCAGACACATGCTAACCGTATCTATAGAATGATCAAACTTGGTCTTGGTAAGTAAGACTTGCTAAATCTCTTATTTCTAACTCAGAGGGAAAAGTGTCCCTGGGAAGGACTTAATATAATGCTGCAGCTTAAACTGTTTCTATATCCTTAGAACCAGGGGTTGTTCTGAATTCTTGGAGACTTACGATTAAAACCATTTTAATTTAGTTACACTTGTGTGTTTGTACAGGCATTGATGAAGATGATTCTGCTACAGAAGAAACTAGCCCAGCAGTTGCCGAGGAGATGCCGCCACTTGAAGGAGATGATGACACATCACGTATGGAGGAAGTGGACTAAAATAGCTACCTTACAGAAACTTGTGGATGTTTCCTGGGCTAATTTGAATAAGTTATATTTTGTATAATATGAATGTTACCTGCCAAAATTGACACTGTCTGCATTCCCTCTTTATATTTATTTTCAAAGATGTTATACCTTATTTTTGTTACATTGGTTTTTTTAGCTAATGTGAGAATGCCATGAAGGGAATGTTTTCTTGGTGCATTTACATTGTAACACCCTAGTGAGGCAAGTAAGGATTAATTATTTTGTCTAAGAGCTGGTTGCAGGTGGCAGGGTTTCTGGATGTCTTAAGTTGTAACGTTGTACAGCTCCTCACTAAACAAGTCTGGCATTCAGTACCTAGTAACTAGGTATCAAGAGCTGAAATATTGGGGAAGCTTTAACCCCAGCCATGCTCCCATGTTTCAAAGTATTGATGTTAAATTCTGTCTTTTTATACTGTAAAAGGATTTTTGATTGCACTCTTAACCAACTAGAATCCACTGTAAATCTCCGTGGCTTATACAACTCTGCATGTACAGTTTGAGCTGTCTAGGAATAAAGGTGTTATGAATGAATATTTGTAGTAAACTTTGCATTTGTGGCTAAGCTGAGCCGTCACCCTGAGTTGTCTGGAAACTATTTCCCCCCCCCCCGCCTTTTTTTATTGGTTGCTGTGTACCTGGAAGCCAACACTGAAATAGCTTTCCTAGACCACCTCTGCATGACTTAGATGTGTCAGAAAACATCTTCCCCCTATTTAAGACCTAATCTAAACTCTCTACCAGAGGTATCTGGTATACAGCCATTTTGTGTTTAGACCTGTGCAGTGTATGAGCTGCAAGCATATCAACTGCTGTGGCTATCAAAAGGCTTTACAACCATAAAATACCACCAATGCACCCCTGAATTGTGTTTTAGTGATAGTCCTCAAACTCAACTTACATGCAACTTTCCATTAAGCTTGGACTTCAGAATGTCCAAGTGGTTCCCAAACTTTTTGGAGTCATGTCCCCTTTTTTTGAGATCCTCAAGCCCCTCCCCAAAATAGCAGAACTAGGGGTGGGATTGACAGGTGTGTGGCTGGCTTGCCTCCTTCCCCCTGGAATCCTTACCCTGTGTTTGGGAACCCATGGTCCAAGTTAATATCCCAAGGTCTGTCAGCATATGTAGATTTCCCTGAAGGGCATAGTGTCAACCATGCACTAAAAAGCTACCTTCAACTGAAACAGCTACTCCATTTCAATACTTTAAGCTTTCCTAAAGCAGCATCCAGTATAATCAGAAAGTAAAGTACTAAATTTCTGCAATGCTTGCTTGGAAAACATTCTTGCCATAAGGATCAAATTAAATAGTTTAAACCCATCTCAATAAATGGTTTAGTAGCTAAGATTGACAAAAGCAGTGACAAACTCCAATTGCCTCCTGAGAGTGGGCTAGCCTTAGGCTGATGGATTAAAGGTGATATCAAGATGAATGTCATAACATAGCAATTGCCCAAGGGATTTTTAATTTGTCTTTTTTGAAGACATTTAAAGACTGCCAAACAGTTTAAAACCAGAAATACATTGCTTTTCCACAGGCAGCTATAATGTAAGGACAAAAGATAAGTAGTTTTGTGGGGGGGGGGGGGGGTTTTTTATTGGGGGGGCAGTTAGCCATCTAACCTACAGTCGCAAAATGTAGCCAGTTTGTCAGATTAAAGTGTGAATATACTAATAGACAACTGTCTACCTGCTTTGTAGACATAAGGGTGTGGTTAAACTATGCCTCCCTCAGCCCTACCGTCAACCACTGCCCATGCTTGCACACCTAAATTGTGCCATATGTATCGTGTGACTATAAGCAAAATTAATTTTAGATAATCCAAGCATACTGATCCTTTTCTCTTAATCTGTGCACCATGTGAAGCTACTTTTATATTTGGAAAAGATTAGATCTCCTAGGCCTCAGGAGTTTCCAGAGGTGGTCTTGGCACCTTCACTGTGGCTAAGTCTGCATCTGACTTCAGAAGTCTGTTTTCTGTGGTTTTAGATGCTACTTTCTTTGTTCCAAGGAAAAATAGTTGTCTATGTGCATGTCCATTCTAATACAGGTATGCATGTGCCATTGCCTGAAGGGTTTTCCCCCTCAGGGACAGGTGCAATTTATTCTGGTCTCTGGTGCTGTGAAAAACAATGCAAAATGAACAGGGGCTGTTCTACTCTCTGAAGCCCATCCGTCACAAGAAAACCTGCAAAGTGAGACCTGTGCAAGGTCACTCAGGCTCAAAGGCTGCTAGTCTGGTACTGTCAATTCCAGCCCCAAGTCAAAGTAACTCAATCATGACTGGTGTGGAGAAAGTAAATAAGGAAAATAACACAAGAAGTAGAGTTTACCAAATGAAATTAATAGGTAGTGGGTTTTAAATGAAGTATTCATGTAATGCAGTAAACCTGTGCAACTCAGCAGAAGATGTGGAGTTCAAGATAACAGGCTTCAAAAAAGCTAGATAAATTCATGGAGGATAGGTCCATCAATGGCTATTAGCCAGGATGGGCAGGAATAGTGTCCCTATTTTCTGTCAGAAGCTGGGCACCCCAATATTTGAAGAATGTCTATTGCCATCTATCCTTACAGAAGAGCCACTGCCAACTGGATCCAATAAAGTCTTCATTGTTTTCAATTTACCCATTTCAGCTTGTAGCCAGAGAATTTACCAGTTATCTATTGTTTGGAGGCTATTTAGAATAAATTAATACAGATTTTTAATAAGATGATGTGGTAGAATCTTAGACTGATAGGATTGAAAAGGACCTCAAAAGGTCTGCTAGTCCAGTCCTTTGTATTCAAGCCAGGATTAAATATAGATCATCCTTTGCAAGCAATAGTCTACTCTTCCCTTAGAATGACAAGAGGCATTTTATTCCAGTGCTTAACTACACTGACAGGATAGTCATTACAGTCACAAGGTGAGACATGGAGTTATTGAGGATAAGAAATATCACAACATATCAAATATTCTCTAAGACATTCATAGTAGTGATAAGATATCTTTGCAATAATTTCTTTTGACATCTAAATCCTATAGGAACAGTTATGTTAATTCAAGTGACTTAATCTCACTAATTTTTGTCTAACAATTGCATATAACATTTTGATTTTATATTTGAATCTCCTGTATGTAGGCCTAATTAGCTCCTTGATGCTGCTTAAAGTAGCTTGCAACTGAATATATCAAAAACCTTTCATAGATAAGATACCCTACTTGTACAAACAGTGATGTCACAGTATCATCTGTAACATCATATTCTGTTACCCCAGTAATAAATCTGATGGATGACTTTGGCTTTTGATGACTAAAAAAATAGTCTGTACAGCACGTGCATATGCATTAACTAGCAGTTTCAGGAACTAGGATGGAAATAATGACTGGCAGGTAGGATAATGCATACAAATATTTCTTTCTTGGTGATACTCAAATGTTTAAAAGCAGGGTATTTGGATGCTTAATTTATTTCAGACTGTTGTTTCTCTAATAAAGCTTTTCCCCGTCCTGTGTATTATACTCTTGTAATTTAATGGAGTCCACTACAAATCTAGCCTATAGTGAGACTAACCTAAATACAAGATAAAATCTTTTAAAATAATTGATTCCTGCTCTTTAGTGAAAAATACTCATACAATTTATCTTATAGTGTGTTGAAATTTAAAACTAACACAATGAGTTGGGAAAAGCTGAAGACACATATTTCTAGTTTTCTTTACTGGTGAATTGATGACTTAACCCTTAACCTCCATGAAAATTAATTCAGATGTGAAGCATGCGAAGTGGGGGAAGAAAACAGCTATGTTCCACTAGAATAGTTAAAATGTTGGGAAGTAGGTGGAGGCCCGAGTGCATGATATTAATCTTTCACAGTAACTGAATGGAGACTATGAAACTTACTCCTGCAAGAGATAATTATCATAGAACAGCACTTTCCAAACCAGATGCTCCATTAACTTTATTTTATTAAGTTCTTCCCATATGCATAAGAAAGGTCATAGAGGTCATAATAATGAATGACTCAGCATAGTAGCCTATTTTCCCAGTCCTAGTAATTAAAGATATGTCTCTACACTACAGTGTTATTTTGAAATATCTTATTTCAAAATAGTTAATTTAAAATAAGTTATTTCGAAATAACGCATCTACACACAAAATACATTTCGAAATAGCCATTTGCTATTTCGAAATAGCACATCCACACTACGTGGACAGTCAATCACATTTAAGGCCAGCCGGAACCAAGTAGAACAGCTTGCACATGTCAGTGTGGACGTGTTTGCGCAAGAACCCTTGCGCAAGAAGCCACCAGTGTAGACATAGCCTAAGAGTTTCCTCCCATGAGCAGAATGGATTTTGTGTTGTGCACCTGTACTGAGTTCATGTGGCTTGTTTGGATGTGCCACCAGAGGCGTAGCGAGGGTGTTATGTGCCCAGGGGCAAAGGAAAAATTTGTGCTCCCCCTCTCCCCCCACCGCTATGCACTGGATTGTGAATACAAGGAACTTCATGGTTGCCCTTGAGTCTTTAAGGGAATGGAGTCTAGAGTCTACTAGTTTACTCAGAAAAGAGACCTTTGCCTTTGAATGGCAGGTCAAAATGTACAGAGCTCCTATGCTATGTCAAAATTTACAGAGCTCCTCTCAGAAGACTACCCCCCATGACAGAGGCCTTGCTGTTGAGTCAGCTGAGTCAAGCAAGGTCTGGAGAGATGTCCTCACTACCATCTTGCCCTGTTCAGTAAGGACTGAAAACTCCTGCTTGGAGTCTTCTGAGAGGAGCTCTGTAAATTTTGACATAGCATAGGAGCTCTGTACATTTTGACCTGCCATTCAAAGGCAAAGGTCTCTTTTCTGAGTAAACTAGTAGACTCTAGACTCCATTCCCTTAAAGACTCAAGGGCAACCATGAAGCCCTTTGTATTCACACTCCAGCACCCTGAAGGAAACTATTTAGGCCCTGATCTCAACAGCACAGACAGTATAGGGCAAGGCCTAGGCAGAAACTGTTCCACTACAGGAGCAAGAACAACAAATGCAGGCCTTCTGACTAGTCTGTGGGCCACAGCCACTGCTCCTCCAATCCACTTCAGGCCACATTTAGAGGTTTTGAAGGTGCCCTCAATGGAATTAGCTATTATTCCTCCTGGAATGAGGTTTACCAGCTAATTCGATTTAGGGCTTTAATTCGGAATCCCGTTTAGCTGCTGCTTGTAGAAGCGGGCAGTTACTTCGGGCTAGTCAATTTCTAAAATGGCGACCGGCCAAGACCATGCTAATGAAGCACGGGATATTTAAATCCCGTGCTTCATTTGCGATTTCGGTCGCCCTCATTAGCCTCCCTACATCAAACTAGGGGGCTAGTGTAGACATACCCTTACTCGAGAACTCCCTTACATCATTTTCCATACGGTACAATTCAGGCAGCATCCTGCATTCTTAGCTGAGGTGATCTCACAGTTTCACCTGGGGCAGGATATTTTCCTCCCAGATTTTTACCCAAAGCCACACACAAGCACCTGAGAAAAAGTAGCACTTTAAAGACTAACAAGATGGTTTATTAGATGATGAGCTTTCGTGGGTCTGGCCCACGAAAGCTCATCATCTAATAAACCATCTTGTTAGTCTTTAAAGTGCTACATAGTCCTATATTTTGTTTCAGCTACACCAGACTAACACAGCTACATTTCTATCACTATTCTGAGAAGAAGTGTACACAGAGCTTTGGCTTTCTACATCGAGTGCACAAAGCCATGTATAAAATCTACCCAGCTGAAGGGTCTCCTGGTCTCATCAGAATGCATTTTCTCCTGGATATTGGATTGTATCCACACCTGTTCTGATTTGACTAATATCCTACCCCTTGCAGTTATAGACTAGTTGGCCAGAGCGCAGGCCTCCTCAATCACATTTCTAGCCCAGGTCCCGATTCAGGAAATCTATATGGTGGCGACCTGATCTTCGGTGCATATATTCACTGCTCATTATGCCATTGACCAGCAGTTTAGGTATGACAGTAATTCCTATCTCTGACACCACCTACTTCCAGGCTGTGTCTACATTGGCACCCCTTTCTGGAAAAGGGATGCTAATGAGACCAGTCGGAATTGCAAATTCCACGGGGGATTTAAATATCCCCCGCGGCATTTGCATGAACATGGCTGCCGCTTTTTTCCGGCTCGGGGTTTTGCCGGAGAAAAGCACCAGTCTAGACAGGATCTTGCGGAAAATAAGCCCTTGTCCGGAAGAGCCCTTATTCCTAATAAAAGGGCTTATTTTCCGCAAGATCCCGTCTAGACTGGCGCTTTTCTCCGGCAAAACCCCGAGCCGGAAAAAAGCGGCAGCCATGTTCATGCAAATGCCGTGGGGGATATTTAAATCCCCCGCGGAATTTGCAATTCCGACTGGTCTCATTAGCATCCCTTTTCCGGAAAGGGGTTCCAATGCAGACACAGCCCCAGGGTTTAACTTCTCGGGAGTCACCTGATTGGAATCTGATGAACAACCACTCAAAGAAGAAAAGACAGTTGTTACCTGTTTTCTTGTAACTGGTGTTCTTTGAGACATGGTGTTCATGGCCATTCTAATACCCTCTTCCCCTCTGTGGGTGTAGCTGGCAAAAAGAAACTCAGGGCAGTGTCAGGGTGCCAGAGGCATATAAAGGCAGCTATAGCAACACCACTAGAAGGGGCTCCACAGCCAACCCCAATGGGAGCTGCTAGGGGAAAACTTCTGATGCTCATGCATGTGATGTGCACACACCTGATTGGAATTGACACAGACAACACTTCTCAAAGAACATCATTATGAGAAAACAGGTAACTGTCTTATCTCTAATAAAGAATGTTATTTATAGCATTAACATGTATAATGGTCTTAGAAAACTGTAAAAAGCTCTGGTGAGCAGTTTAAATCTACTGTTTATAAACTGAGGTGCTTTCCTTTGGAAACATTCTTGTATGCATTTGCTATTGGGACTGGCCAGGTCATGACTAAAATGCATACATAGAGTTAAAGAGAGTTGATAACAGCTTTTCAACAGTCAATTGATTACAAGGACTTGGTTGAATGGGCATAAATGATTGGCTCAAGTAAACTCTTGCTCTATTAAAAGTGACAGCAGTGTTTATTCTGATATTTGAGCTGTGTACAACAGCGCTAAGAAGAAAAGCTAGAAATTAGCTTCCCTTTGTCATGCTGTGAATTTTGAAGCTAGGTGTTGTCAGCTAAGTGGATGTAAGTTGCCATTGAAATCTCTTTCTTCATGAACCTCATGCAAAGGTCTGGTCAGGAAAAGAGATACAAGTGTTAAAAATGTTCAATAAAATAAGGATTTGGATATCATGGTGATGGGTACAATATCAATACTACATAAAAGTAAAACATGATTGCATCTTCATTTAGCAGAATTCAGAACTTGTTGGCATATTTAAACTGATTTGAATTCCTTTATATCGGAGCCTAATTGCACTTGAAGATCTTTGATCTCCACATAGAACTTTGATCTCCACATAGAAATGTTTACAAAGATCTTGTGGCAAATATGTAATTACAAATGTTTTTGTGCATATTTCTGATGGAAATACATTCTTAAATCAGGTTTGACCAAATATTGAAGGACACAGCAAAAGCAAGTGACATGAAACTTCAAATAGGTTTGTACACTTCTGCTATTTCATTCATTATGTGGTGGACTTGTTTAAACGTTCTGACTTGAAAAAATAACAATTGTTTGAATTTTTGTCTAAAAGTGTTGCATATGGGAATAGCTATCACTTATCTCCCCGTCTCACACCATACAATAAACTTGTAATACACAGGGTTACTTACGAGAAGCTGATCTTTCATACCTAGGCCCCTGTCACATGATGTAGGTCAGGGTTACAAAAGGTCCATCCTCTTATCATATGACAGGCATCAGAATCTATTGTTGCCAACATTCTTATGGGAGTTATTTGTTGATAGTGAATGACACTAGTGAATTTCTGGATTGTGAATGTCAGTGTGTATTGCATTTGCTCAGTGACCTCTCAGTATTATTGTATGGACAGTTTGGGAGAGAGACAGTGCTAAGTTTGGTAGCAGCAAAAGCGAACACAATTTTCATGCAAAAGGAGGCAGCTGTTGACTGTGTGTTGAACTTATATTATAAAGTTCCTCTGTGGTTTTTATTTTTTTAAAGAGTCTTCACTTTTTTAAAATTAAGCATAAAAAATCCCAGTGAAAACCTCCCCGCTGAACCATGACTGATCAAAGGTGGAACAGGCTCAACTGCATCAAAGGAGCATTCAGTGTCCTTAGCACCAGCGGTGGCATGAAGCTGAGACAGAGAAGCGCACCACTTCGTCATAAGGTGCCCTAATTGTGCTTTATTGTTTGGCGACGGGGAAGAGAGAGATGGGTGTGAGTGGTTTGGAGGCAGTGTTCCCTCTAAGATTGTCCATCCATGAACAGAGTGAGTTTTGTCTCGTGCACCAATATTGAGGTCATGTGTGCTTGTTTGGATGTGTGCTGCTGTGGCACCCAAGTTATAAACCTCTCCCTTTTCCCCTCTGCTGCCATGTCTCCCACCCTCCCCTCCCCTGCTCCCCTGGTTCCTGCTGCATCTCACCCCTCACCCTCCTCTGTTGTCCTGGATCCTGCCCTTCTCACTCCCTTCAGCCCTTCTGGGACCTGCCCCCGTCCCCATCCTCTCTGACCCCTGCCCCCGCCCTTCCCCCCGTGCTCACCCCCTCCTCTAGCCTCACTGATCATCTATAGCTGCCCATGCCCAAGCCTCCTCTATTCTCCCTGTGTCTGCTCTTTTGCTTCACCCCCAAAACCTCCCTGGCACCTGCATCTTCCCTTTCTCCCTGCAATCTCCTGATGCCTCCCCCTTTCCTGACCCTGCCCTCTCAACATCTGCCCCCTTGCCTTCTTCCTCTCTGGTGCCCACCCCCTCACCATCCTCTGCCTGTTTTCCTCATGCCCCCCTGCACCCTCACACATGACTTACTCCAACCCCTGCCTTCCTCATGCCAATCCCTCCTTTCAAACCCTCTTCTCCCAGCACCCACTCCTCTCCTCTCCTCTTCCTTCCTCTTGCCCTCATTGCATCACCCTATCCCCTCCCTTTTTCTACCCCCACTGACACCTTACCATCCCCTCCCTCAGTTCCTCTTGCCCATTCCCCTCATTGTCTCCTCTTGGTCCCCTGGCATTTGTCTCTCCTCCACCCTCCCCCTTGGTGCCTTCCCCTTTTTTCTCCTGCTCTGGTCCCCTCCACTCCCCTCAGCACAAGCTCCTTTCTCTCCTCACCTCCACCTTCTCCTTAGGTTTCCCCTGCCTCTTCCCTCCCCTTTTTGCCTTCCTGACACCTGTACCCCTCAAACCCCTTGTGCCCAAGCCAATGCTGTTACCATATTGTTTTATTCTGCATATTATAAATAAGCATCCACCAGAGAATTTCCTTTCCAGCAACTTCATTATTAAAGTGTACAGTGGTAGGCACAAGACCTATCTTCCAACCTGGCTGAATATTACTCCTGCAGATATCCTGGGGCTGGCAGCGGCATTCAGTGAGCCCCTCAGCAAGGCATACATAACAAAGGACGCCTTCCTAATCTGAAGTAAGGAAAGGAAATCCCTCTGGCAAAGCGCCTCTCTCCCTGAGCACAGGCAGGGAACTGCCCCTGTGGGAACAGCCGAGCACCACACACTGAAGACTCCCATGGCAGAGGTCTGTAGACAGGCCGGCCGCCAGGGTGTGCCATGCACTTCATAGAGTGGGAAGTGGTGCATGCCACTAGCAGCTTGCTCCCTAGGACCGGGTCTCCATTGGCCCCTTGTGCCGGGACTGGGGCCAAGGCTGTGGTGCTATTTTAGTACCAGCAGCAGCCCTGCCACATGGCCTTGCTGCTCCTGGGGCGGGGCAGCCACCTGCAACACAGCTCCGCCTCTAGGAGCAGCTGTGGCCATGCGGCTCTGCTGAGGAGGTGGGCCGGACTGAAATTCTTGGTGCGAGCCTGTGCAGTAACCCTCTCTGAAGATAGAATCTCAGAGCACTAGAACTGGAAGTTTTTCCTAAAGTCCAACCTAAACCTCCCTTGCTGCAGTTTAAGCCCATTGCTTCTTGTCCTATCCTCAGTGGCCAAGGAGAACAATTTTTCTCCTTCTTCCTTGTGACACCCTTTTAGATACCTGAAAACTGCTATCATATCATGAACAGTACTAGGCACTGATGCTTTGCACAGGATTCTCTTCCTG